TATATTCGTGGGCAGAGTGCCCCCCCCCCCCCCCCCCCCCCCCCCCGCCCCCAATCCCCAATGGACCCTGTGAGCCCCCCAAGAGACGTATGAGGCTCCACTTCCAGTGGACCGGCTCGGATGCCAACAACAACGGCAACGCCGGCAACGGCCGGGCCGGCACTGACCGTTCGAACCTGGTACAGGCGAGCTTAAAGGGTTCACAGGGCTCGAAGTGTGCATAGGGGTTTAAGGGCATTTATAGGGTTTGCAGGGTTTATAGGGTTTAGGGCCTAGGCATCAAGGAGTCCGGATGCCAAATAAAGGGTTTACGGATGCTGTGCCAGCTCTGGTATCCGGGCCTCCCTCCCCCGAGCAATTGTCCACAAAAATGCTGAAGAATCAGTTTGGGGGGGCCTGGGCTTGGCTGAGGGGCCTGTGGCCCTGAAGCTTCGGGCCCTTGTAAAGCTGAAGGGCGCCAGACTCTACGTCAGACCTTCTAATCTTCTAACTCTTTTTCGCTTAAGAACCCCCCGCAAGAACGCAAAACATATCTTTCTTATGAGGGCAAGGGAGAAACGTTGATCTTTCATGTGGAGGCCGATGGGAGCACCGGGCTTCTTGAGGTCATGGATTCGAGGATTCGATACAAAATGAAGCCCTCAACCCTATAAACCCTAAGCCCTGAACCCTTTATTAAACTCTACGCAAACCCTCAACAAAGCCCGGGGTCCTACGTTTAGGGTTTCTTTGGGGCCCCTAAACCTTATCAGCCCTAGCTACAAAGCCTTTCTTCAGGTCCAGTCCAGGTCAGAGACGGTCCCTCTCCCGATCGAACGGCACACCCTCTTGCCACATGTCTGGAAGACAGTTCCTAGGATCCGGAGTAGACCATTATTCCCCTTCTGTTTAGGGTTAAGGTTCCCTCCTAAGCCCCTTTAAAGCCAAAAACGGCACCCTTGTTATTCCTAGGTTACTCATGGGTCTAGGTTCTGCGAACCCACTCGCTCTCACATTAAGCCCCCTTACCCCCTAGTACTAAACATGCCCCCCGCCATACACCACAATATCGCTAGCATCAGGGGAATTAATAGTAGGGGGGGGTTTAGGTTGAGCAGGATTGAGCGCTTTTGAGCAGAGCTCGACAGGCACCTATCCGGGCGAGAGAAGTAGAGAAGCCTGCTGGAAGAAGAGTTAAAAGACAGTTCAAACACCAAGCCCTCCATGCACCTTGTCAACGCTGTGGATCTTGTTAAACGAGCTTCTGAGTCGTGCACCCTCACGCTGGCCATTCCCTTAGAAAGGTGCTGCCCTTCCCCAACCCCCCCCCCCCCCCTTCAAAAAAAACTCGAATAATGATAACAATAATAACACATGCAAAGTTCAAACTGCCAGCCAGGTTTGACGCCAGCGCAAACCCCAACGATGCAGAGGGGCGGAAGCTTGTGGACAAGTTCGCCTTCTTGGACCAGGAATTGTTGTGGTTATGTTTGGGGCTGGGGCTTGCGGAATAACTTTGGAAGCTCCATGGACCAATCCCTACTTGGAGGTTCATGGGAAGGTACAAGTAGGGTCAGAAGCACCCTAGAAATGGTTTTAAGTATAGCTTATCATACATAATTCCCTACCCATAACTACGCGCGTAGGACCCCTGGATGGCTTGAAATGGATGCTTCTAAGGTGTGAAGGCCTCCAAAAAGGCTTAGGATTTAGGGTTTAGGGCCTAGGGTTTAGGGTTTGGGCGGTTTAGGGTTTAGGCTTACATCGCGTGCTACTAGAACGTGCGGGCCGCGTGGTCTTCGGGTCCTAGCGGCTACACCTGAGGGCGTGCTAGTTGACCATGACTCCAGGATTCGCTGGTGACGTGCGACCCTGACACGAACGACCAGAACTCGGAGACGAACTGCAAGCAACTCAACGGTGCCTCCGCCTACTTCGATGGTGGACTGGTGGAGATGAAGAGTGTGGGTGTGCACCATGTGGCCAGCACCAGGAACAACGATTTCACAAATCGGTCCCACAAGGCATCCATTACGGTCACAGGCCTCCAGTTGGAGCTGTACGAGAACATCGCCTTGGGGGTCGGTGCATTTTGCGGTCTCATCCTGGTGATCTACGTGTTTGCGGCCGTGTATGCTTGCAGGCATCCCGGGAGCTGGTTATTCTCCCGCAGGTATCGCCCGCGACTGCTCAGCCTCCTGCTGACCACACGTGGGATGGACAGCCTTGTGGAGGAGCGGCGCCAAATTGTGGCACAGAAGCGCCGGGAGTGGGCCAAGAAGGCCAATGCCCATGCAGCAGATGAGGAGGGAGCCACCGATTCAGCAGAGGTCGCACTGCCAGAGGAGACACTCACATGGTTCCAAGGAATTAACCGCTGCTTCCGTCGCTGTGGCGTTGGCGAACAGCGTCTGACTACCCTCATGTACGGCGTGCTGAACATCTTGGTGTTCCTCATCGGCTTCTTGTCCAACTTGCGTGGTGGGTTCCATGAGTCGTGGGCCTATCCCGTCGCCAAGGGTGGTGGCTACAGCATGGACTTGAACTTTGCCATGCTTATCCTGCCCACACTGAAGAGCTTGCAGACGACCATGCGCCGGGTGAGCTCTTCGCGTGAGTGGATTCCCATTGATGACCCCATTGCCTTCCACATCGTGATTGCAAGCTTCACGATGCTGGGGGCACTGATCCACATAGGCGGCCACGTCATGCACATCTACCTCATCAAGACGGCACCCACGATCCAGCTTGACCCACTAGAGTTGTGGAAGCTCAGCGCAGAGGAGAAGGCAAGCGGCATGACCTTGCTGCAACAGATCTTGAACTTCCAAAATCGCTGTGCGGCCTTGACGGGCATCATACTGATCTTCCTCATGCTGGCCATCCTCCTAACTGCCGTACCTTGTGCTAGGCGGGGGACAAATTGCGTCACGCGCAGGCTCGGTGGTTTCAATCTCTTCTGGCGCGTGCACATGACGTGGAAGTTCATCTATGTGTTGCTTCTCTTGCATGCACCGGCCCGGCTTTGGATCTGGTTCTTCTTCCCCACTATCTTTGTGATCGTTGACCGGCTTCTGCTTTCCAACCACCAGAGCTTGTACTTGGCACTGAAGAGCGTGAAGCTGCTCCCGCGCGACGTCATCGGCCTGACCTTCGAGGTTCCACAGGGCTTTGCGTACCAGGCTGGCCAGTACATCCTCCTAGGCTGGAAAGGAGAATGGCACCCGTTCACCCTCACATCGGCCCCAGAGGAGAACTGCATCTCCGTGCATATCCGCTCGCCCAACAACCTGGACTGGTGCTCTGCCCTGCGGCGGCGCCTCACCGAGGAGGCCCCAGCGCAGGCAGTGGGTGCTGAGCCCGCACGGCCCAAGGCACCCATGGTGATCGAGTACTGCAAGCGTGTGCTGCCCAATAGCCAAGTGGTGTACAACATGCCCAAGGTTTGCAGTTCCAACGGTGCAGTTAAGGATGCGGGAGAGGCTGAGCCTCCAACCAAGTTGGAGGGCCCGCGTCTGTTGGGCCGGAGCCCTTCAGGAAAGGTGGCAGACAGGCCGGCGCGGTCCGGCGAGACGTTGATCAGCAGCGCAGCCCCAGGGATGCTGCCGGAGGAGTCCGTGGTGCTGCAGGTCACTGGCCCGTTTGGTGCCCCTGCACAAAAGGTCTGGGGCTTCGACGTGCTGATGGTCGTGGGGGCCGGCATTGGTGTCACGCCCTTCGCCTCAATCCTGCGCTCCGTCCAGCTTCGTGCCAAGCAGCGCGAGACCATCATGAACGCTGCCACGAAGCCTTCTGCTTGGCGAGCGGCCATGGCCAGCAATGCCCAGGCCGACGAAACCAGGTCTGGGCTTGAGAAGCTCGTGGAGGACTTGGTGGTGGTCCCGAAGAAGATCTACTTCTACTGGATCTGCCGTGGCCAAGAAGAGTTCGACTGGTTCTGCGATCTCCTCACGGCCGCTGCCGAGGGTCCGGCCATGGGCATTGTGGAAATCACGCTCTTCCTGACCGGGGAGGTGGAGTTGTCTCAGGTCAAGAAGCTTCCCTGCGCTGCTGGGCAGTTCTTTGGACGTCCCAATTGGGGACGCATCTTCAAGCAGAACCGCGAAAAGCATCAAGGAGAGCACGTCGGCGTCTTCCTGTGCGGTTCCCCGGTGATTGGCGAACAGCTGTCCCACCAAAGCATCAAGAACTCGGACTTGGTCGGAACGCCGGGCGGGACCCGCTTTTCGTTCTTCAAGGAGCACTTCTGAGCCTCTGAATGCATGTGTCCCCTTTGCTTTTTCTTCCGCAGGCTCGCGCCTCTGTCTCTGCGATGCCGACGGGGATCCAGAATTTCCTGAATCCTGGTGTTGAGAGGCACCTTGGCGCCCTTGTATAGCATTCTCCAATTCCTGGCCTGCGGTGAATGGCAGTTTTGTGCTTGCCTGGTGGGGCAGAGCTTGAACCCCCCCAGGCTTCCATCCCTAACTTACCTGCGTCGGGATTGGGCCAGGCACATGTGCTCAGGCTTCCTTTGCACAGCGACCGTGTGGAAGAAGCCTTGGGCTTCCGCTCGATCTGCCCTTACAGGTGGCTCACGCGAGCTCCCGACGTTCGGATCCGATTTTGTTGGTAGGTCGGATCGACCAGCAGTGTTGGTCTTGGCCTTCAGCCCGCCGTTGTACAAATGCTTCGTGAAGTGCGGAAGCATAGAGTGCACATGGAGCCCTCAATGTTGGAAGGGCTCATCCAGCATACGCCCAAAGCCTTACGGTCCATTGCCGAATATTGCCTACTTTGCGACACGGCCCTTAACATTGCGGTATGTGTATATATAATGTACATATATATATATATATATATACATATGTATATATATATATATACATACACACAGACTACCTCGGCATGGGCCCTCGCACAAGCCTGGGATCTGCGATTTTCTTCTTAGCAACATAGTCAATCGTCCTTCAAATACAACTACAACTATACTGGTCGTGTTTCTTAGGGTTCCTGTGCTCATCCTCGGAATGTGATGTGAGGTGGACAGCCATGCAGTTATCCCAAGTGCTTGGAGAAAGGCCGGACCCGCTTGCTGGCGATGACCCAGAGAACTCGACCTTAGATATCAACGAACATTGCTTAACAGTGGTGCTTTTGAAGTGGTCTGCAGGCTGCCCTTTCCCCGCAACTGATAAGTAGTAGACCTCAAGCTTATATCAGGGTTCTTGCTGCGAACATAGGGTTTAGGGTTTCTAAATCCTAACCCCCCCCCCCCAAACCCTAAACCCCTGTAGAAGAATCTTGGTCTTTTCATGTTCTTTTTCCATGACGCCGTGTTACTGGCTGTGGACGTATTGCATCCCTGCAGTGTTTGCGCGGCTACTACACAAATGGCAAAAGACCCTAAAACCCTGAACCCCTGAATTCTAAACCCCCTTCTTTGCATCATTCTAGGGTTGCAAAATGTGGGTCCCTTGCTATACAACCCTTATATAATACTCTATACATAATCAGGGGGCCTTTACTTCGGATCGCAAACAAGGGCAAGGGACCACACGAAGGGCCCACCCTAAACCCCAACCCCTATACCTGAACCCTAAACCCTAGATCATGCAGCAGAAGCCCTAAACCCTAAGCCCCAAACCCTAAATCCTAAACCCTATAACCCTATAACCCTAGATTCATGCGGACCTGCAACTCTGCGAAGGGCCATTGGATGCCTCCGGAGAGGCGTCGCCGAGGGTGGCGACGTGGTGGCCCGAGACCCGGAGACTTCAAGCGTTTTGGGAACTTTGGGGTTTAGGGGACCCTAGACCCTAGACCCTAAACCCTAAACCCTAAACCAGAGGCGTTGAGGGATTTCGGGATTCGGGGGTCGGGTGTGTTTAGGGCTTTAGGGTTGGGTTTAAGCATGAGAAGGGGTTAAGGGTTTCAGGGTGTCGGCTTTAAAGGTTCAGGGACTGGTAACCAGGTTGTTGCTTCATACCTTCTAGAACCCTAAAACCTAAAAACGTTTTGTGTTTTAGTTTAGGGTTTTCAGTGCCTGTGTTCTGGGTCAAGAGCTGTGCGGCTTAGAGTTTGTTTCAGGGAGTCCGGGGCTTTTGTTTCTCTTTTAAGTGTGATAAGGGGCTTTATGGTTTGGGGCTTAGGGGCTTGGGCGTTGAAGGTGGTTCTCTCCCATGGGTGCTTGAGAGTTTATTGGGGGCTTCCTGCTGAGCCATGGCAGGATGTATTGCGGGCTTTAGACTTTAGAGTTTAGGCTTTAGGATTCAGGGTTTAGGGTTGGTGAAATTCATGGGTTGTTTGGCGACTTGCCGGTGGATGAGGAACTCCCGGCACATCCAACCACTTGACATTGTTTGAGGGCTTCAGTCCAAGGCAACCTGCACCTGGCCTTTCATAAATCCCTAGTAGCGGCACCTTGCCAAAGAAAAGTTTTATGTTGGGAATAACCACCCTAAACCCTAAATCCTAATTAAGCCCTAAACCCTAAACCCTAAACCCTAAACCCTACACCGAGTTTGAGAAACATGAGGTGGATACTGCATGCACAAGCCCAGCATTCTAATGCCTGCGCCGTTCAGGCCCGCGGACACTGATGAGTCGCGACTAGCCCCTTGCTGCAGTTCAAGGGTTTTGGGTTGGGCTTTGGGGGTTTGAGGGTCATTGGGGGCGGGGGGCGGTTTATGGTTTATAGGGGCCGGGCTGTTTATGTTGCAGGTGTGATGTCCAGAGGTTGAGAAAGAGCTGTTCATTGTGATAGACCCTAAGCCCTCAAACCACATGGTCACTTCTCAAAATGATGGTCCCTTTTTGAGTACCCTAGGCCGCCTTAAAATGAGGACCCCCAAAAGGGACCATAACTTAGAGTTGTGAACAAATGGCTACCGCACAAAAAAAGACATGTTGGGTCGACCAGTTTCGTCCAGATCGTGTCTCGCGCCCAGCCTTCGTTTTCTTTTCTATTCTCCACTATGGTGGCCTGCGAGGGATCGGCTCCCTACGAAGGCGCTTCGGGTTTAGGGTTTAGGGCTTAGGGTTTAGGGTTTAGGGTTTGGGGAAGAAGTTCTCTTGTGGGAGGCTCCCACTCAATGCATCAAAAAGTCCCGGTGGTACTTGCTCGGTATCAGCTTGGCGCTACTGGCCTTTGGCGGGCCTTCTGGCCTTCCAGACCCCTCCTCTGAGGAGATGCGCCTCCACCCTGAACCCTGAACCCTAAACCCTAAACCCTAAAACCCCAAACCAATAAACCCATGGACTGAGGCCACAGAGCCCGAAAGCCCCTGTGCAAGGAGCTTTGTGAACTTTTGGTTTGCGAGGTCGACCCTGACCGGGTTCCTTGCAGCAGATCGTGTTTTCGGGTTTTAGCGTTGGCTTGAGTTCACCCAGCGATATCCAGCGATGCTCCAGGCACCGTCACGTCGCCGCACCATGCTCGCGCGATGCTTTTAGAGGGCTTGCAGAGACTGGTGTAGGCTCTCCATGCGCTCGCCCCGCTGTCGCCAGCACGCCCACGTTGAGATCTAGAACTGTTCAGGCTGCAGATGTCCGATGTAGGGTGCAGGGTTTAGGGCCTTTTAGGGTTTAAGGTTTATAGGGTTTAGGGTTTAGGGTTTTCTTCTCAACATGGAGTGCAGTCGTGTTGCTTCAGCCCGCGGAAGAGTGCCGCAACACATGTTCACAGGCGTTTTGCGTTTTGCCGCCGGACCCCAACATCGCAAGGGTTCTCGGGAGCTGGCTTTTTTCTGCTACAACAAGTAGTGGCAGGTGAAGTCGTTAAATAACAAACTCGAGAGAGAGAGAGAGAGAGAGAGAGAGAGAGAGAGAGAGAGAGAGAGCGAGAGAGAGAGAGAGAGAGCCCCTTGGTACACTTCTCGATTTGTGTGTGTCATCCTTGCGCAGGGGCCATGCTAATCTCCTTGCGCAGGGGCGCGCTCTCGCGCGGGGGATCACCCCCAAGCCCCCAAGAAAGAAAGAAAGAGCCCCTTGGGGCGATCCCTCTCGAGGGGTTAAGCGCGCTGCAAGCAAGCAAGCAAGAGAGAAGCAAGCAAGAGAGAGAGAGAGGAGGAGACTGGATTGGCATGCCTCGCGTGAATGGTTCCGAGCGTGAGCGATGAAAGCCAGGCTGAACCTTAGATTGGAAACCCTTTTCCTCCTACAGCCTACTATTTGCTTAAGAACCCCCCAAAAAATTGGACTATATTCTTCCTTGCAAGGGCAACATAGGGATACTTTCTTTTTTTGGGGGGGAGCGGGGGGGGGGGGGGCGGGGGGGGGGGGGCGGGGGGGGCGGGGGGGGGGCGGCGGGGGCGGGGGGGGGGGGGGGGGGCGGGGGGGTGGGGCGGGGGGGGGGGGGGCGGGGGGGGGGGGGGGGCGGGGGGGCGGGGGCGGGGGGGGGGCGGGTTCTTAAGCAACATAGTACATAGTAGAAGCCAGCTGCCTCTAAGCAAGGACTGGCGGCTCTGTACCGAGTGCCGCGCCTTGCCCGCACTGACAAGCTGCTCTAGGGCTTCCTGGGTAGGGTTCAGGGTTTGGGAACCCTAAACCCTAAACCCTAAACCCTAAACCCTAAACCCTAAACCCTAAACCCTAAACCCTAAACCCCAGTGGGTTTTGACTAGGGTCTCCCACTCCCAACGAGCCGACGCTTCCTTAGAACCAAAGAAGTCGAGCCCAAGCAGGGGTTTAGGGTTTAGGGTTTAGGGTGTAGGGTTTAGCGTTTAGCGTTTAGGGTTTAGGGTTTAGGGTTTAGGGTTTAGGGTTTAGGGTTTAGGTTTGGGCTTTGGGGTTTGCGGATTGGGGTGGGTTTGGGGTTGACACGGACTTGGAGTCAATGCGATCAATAAAAGTGAGACAGCTGATGCTTTGATCAGCATATGTGGCATATCATGCTTCCAGTTTGGTGATGATGTCAGTCATTTTTGCATACCGTTTTGTAAGACTCTCAACCAAGCATTTGTCTCTCGCTGAGACAGCTTCGAGGGTTTATAGCATTTTCGAAGGAACTTTTTCGGAATTCGTTAGGAAATTAATCCGAGCATGGCAAAAGTGGCACGCAATATCCTGGCGCTTCCAGTCAGGACAGGCAACGGGAGGAACTTTGGGCCTCCCATGGCCATACGTTGTTGCAGCTTAGGTATACCGAGGCCATAGGTTACTTGGGCTTGGTTGGTATAGTATCTTGGGGTAGTTACATGGTTCTTAATACCCTGAGAATGGGGACTCCTTAATATACCCCTTGTATACCCTGCAAAAACGAAGGCCCACACTTCAGAACCCTTCAATGCAGGTGAGGGACCATGTTACGGGCCCATCTAAACCCTAAACCCTAAACCCTAAACCCTAAACCCTAAACCCTAAACCCTTAGTATAGTAAAGGGGGTAAGAGGTTAAGGTAGAGGTTCGCTCGCTGCCTCAGGTGACGTGAGGGATGCAGCAGCAGAGAAAGGCCTTAGGCTCTCAAGGTTGGGCACAATAGGTTCTTGAGGGTCTTAAGGTGACCCAAAAGAATCGTAAACCCTAAACAATAAACCCTAAACCCTGAACCCTGAACCCTAAACCCTAAACCGCTTGTGGCCTCAAAAAAACCCCAAGCTCCCTTTCGATTCGAGGGCACCCGGGCTGGCATGGCGGCCGTCGCTGCTTGCGAGGGGAGGGTCGCTTCAGTGGCTTGGTGGGGCTTAGGGTTTAGGGTTTAGGGTTTAGGGTTTAGGGCTTAGGGCTTAGGGTTTGAAGGGCGAGGCAGGCAGTGCTGAGGGGGTGGGGATCTTGGCTTTTGAGATCGCCCGATGTTTAGAGCAGGGCTTGGTCATGTTGTGCCTTACTGCCAAGTGCATGTGTTCATGGGTTTCGGGTTTAGGGTTCAGGTCAAAATGCATGGCTAAAGATTCCGCAAAGAAGACACGCGCTCGTTGCACAGGGTCTCGAGTTGAGCAATGCCAGAGGGACCCCCCTTACTATGGTGTGGCTAACCCCTCTAAAGCGTACAAGCCCCAACGTGTAATGCCTTATACACACGTGTCAAGTCTTCAAATCTACATACAACTGGGGGGCAGGCCGCCATGCAATATTTGTGGTTCAAAAGAGGCAACAGTAGGATAGTAGGGTCTTGTGCAATTAGAGTTTAGGTCTCAAGGAGATCTCCGCAATGGGTTTAGGGCCCAACCCAAAACGGGATACCCTAAACGTCCAATCCCAACCCTAAGCAGGGTTTAGGGTTTAGGGCACATGGCTCACGTACAGGCAGGTGCAAGCGTCAACGGCCACGCGCGTTCCTGTAAGTGGTCATTCAAGGTGGAGGATATTCGGAGTGCGAGGGCCTTTTAACACCATCATGTTCGCTTCACACACGCGCGCCCTTGTGTTGTCCTCAAGTATGGAGTATCGCTTAGAAACGTGTCGCTAGGAAGCCCAGTGGGGGCCCCTTGTCACTTTTGGTCAAGTTTTCGGTTTCTTCATACAGCTCACCAGCAGAAAAACTGGCACTCTTGCTACAAGATGGTTGCTGGGCTACCAAGATATTAAACACGGGGATGTGGAAGGGACCCCCTCTTACAGCACGAGCCATCGACCCTTACCCTAAACCATAAACCCTAAACCCTGAACCCTAAACCCCAAACCCTAAACCCTAAACCCTTAGATACAGTTCCAGCCGTCCAGCTGAGGCGACCGCTGGTTCTGCCGCCCTTGTTGGCGAGCGTTTTGTGGAGAGGCCCCCCTGCTTCCTGATTTGTTTGATTGTTGTTGTTTTTTGGTTGGGTTCAGCCCTAGACCCTACACCCTAACGACAAGGCCCGATAACGCCCAAGGAATTGCAAGCCATTGTCCTTTTGTTTGTTGTTTTCTTTTCACCCTAAACCCTAAACCCTAAACCCTGAGTCTCGGAGGAGGCTGAGCGGGATCCAACCGAGCGAGCTGCAGAGGCCATGCAAATGCGCTTGGCCCCTTGGCTAGGTGAGCGGGTTGAGGGTTTAGGGTTTAGGGTTCAAAGTTTAGGGTTTAGGGTTTATAAAAAAGGGTTTAGGGTTTAGGTTAGGGTTGAGGATTGAGGGTTGAGGGTTTAGGGTTTAGGGTGTATGTTTTAGGGTTGAGGGCTAGGGATCTCTAAACACCCCTGCCCCTACACCCTAAACCCTAAACCTCCTGCGAAAGCCCAATGTTGTTTCGAAGCTGAGGAGGTTCCAAGGTTCCGAGAGGGTTTATGGTTTGAGGGTTTTAGGTTTTTTTTGCTTTTTGAGGTTTAGGTTCATCTCCCTGAAGCTACAGGGTACGCAAGAGCCAGGGTCCAAGGGGGGGGTAGGTTACCTGGCAGTGTCTAAGGGTTTTAGGGTTTAGGGTCTACTATTATTTCCCTTATGGTCCCTTTGTAACTTTACTAGAATAACCCCCAAAAACCCTACTCTAACAATTCAGGCCCCTATAGTAGGGTTTAGGGCTTGAGCCATGTGGCGGACAAACTCGCTCTAACCACTTGCGCCATGAAGGACGCCGTGAGCTCCATGGATTTCGGCAGTGTCCGCACTGACCGCCTTTAAGACTCTAAGCCCCAAGCCACGGACCCTGAGCTCTCAAGCACCAACCCCCCGCAAGCAAAACTTCCTAACCTCACAGCCCACAGCTTGTAGACGAGGTGAACAAAGTAAAGCTGATGCAGAAGAGGAAAGACCTGAAGAAGTCGTGGGAGAGCAGCGCGGCTTTGCATTCAGTCTCCCGCAAGAAGCGTTTGCAATTTGTAAGGGGTTTGAGGCGTTCAGGGTTTAGGGTTAGGTTTTTACATTTCCCCTAAGTGGTTTTAAGAGGATTATATTGAGGAACATCTTTCAGGGGGTTCTTGGGGCCATGCGACGAGACATCAGCACCCTAAGCCCGCCAGGTTTTTGCGAAGCCGATTCTTGGCGGCACGGAGCAAGTTGTGTGTTAAAGAGTTCAGTCGCCGACATGGCGAGTTCTCTAAAATTGGGGTCCCTTTCTTGGGGTACCCTAGCTAAGCGGGGCCACCTCATAATAAGGACCCCAAAAGGGACTGTAATTTAGAGAAATCACCGCATGTACTCAAGAAAGAAGCCGCACACGTATTTTGGGGCATAGGACTTCACCTTCGCCTAATTAAACCCAAGCCCTAAACCCCAAAGCCCTAGGCCCTGAACCCTGAACTAAGTATAGGTAGTTGCCAGGTAGTTATAAGCAGGGTTATAAGTACGCATAATAGGGCGATAAGCAAATTTACCATACTTATAACCCTACGTATAAGTACCCATGAACCACCAAGTAAACCCTAAACCCTTTTAAGGCTTCCAGCGCCTCCCCGCGCCTGCACTCATGGGGCGCTGAACCCCGCTAAACCCCCAAACCCTAAACCCGAAACCCCTCTACCTCGGACCCCCTAAGTTTGTGCCCTTGGGACCTGTTTTAAAAATCCTCTTAGGGATTATGAGGGGCCAAATTGGGAGTGTTTTTTTTTACTGGGAACCAGCAAATACAAGGGCCAAACTCGGAGCAAAGAAAGTGAAACCCTAAACCCTAAACCCTAAACCTCTGCGAGAACCTCAGACCTGTGAGGAAAGCGGCTTGCGGGATCCGGCGCGGCACGCGCCCACCTCACTGCTGTCCTGGCTGGACCCGGGTTTCCTTGGGGAAGCTTAAGCCCCACTGGGGGGTTTAGGGTTTGGGGTGTAGGGTGTAGGGTTTAGGGTTTGGGAAAGCTTAAGCCCCACTGGCTTTGTCAAGTTTTTAGGGTTTGGGGTTTAGGGTTTGGGGTTTAGGGTTTAGGGTTTGGGGTTTGGGGTTTAGGGATTAGGGACTCTCTCTTAGACCCCAAGCCCTAAACTTTACATGAAACCCACAGCCTGCACGTCCCGGACGTGGGGGTTGAAAGGCTGTGGGCTGCCATGGACCAGAAACCTACTACAATTTTTGTGTTTAGGGTTTAGGATTTTGGGCCTATAGGGTTTAGGGTTTAGGGCAAGCCCTAAACCCCAAACTGCTCCACGGCCCTAATCCTGGGATTTTTTGTGGCTTCCCATCGGCACCAGGAAACCATCGACGCAGTTCCAGAGGATCTGCACCCTGCAAGCACACGGTTTTCGTTTGAAGGGCCTAAAGCTTCAGGGATTGCCTCGCGTCGGCTTAGGAGGGTTTAGGGTTTCGGGTTTAGGGTTTAGGGTTTAGACCCGAAACCCCAAACCCTATCAACATGTCCGCATGCGCGAGCTTAAGCTCACGGCGCACTGGGCTTCGACGCCATGATTCTACACGCTATAGTGAACTGAGACCGCTCCTAGACCCTAAGCCCTAAAACCTACCTGGACCCCCAGAGTATGTAAAAACATGGCCCGGAACCCGTAAGGGTACCATTCTTTACATACTGTCGGGCATGTAGGTAAACTTCAACCCAGCCTACACCCTGAGAATGCCGCTTTGTTAAGCTTTGTTGATTCGTGTTGAAACGAACTTTGCGCTTTGTCGATACGTTCCTCCTGGACACCCCAAATGAAGCTTGATGTTGCACAGGCGGTGTTGGAACCTCCCAAAGACGGTTCTCAGGCTTTGCTGGCACACAAGAGAGCCTGATTCTAGAAGGGTTTGGCTCAACACCCCTTCATAATTAAGGAATGTACCTTATCTTCCCCCGTATGTTCCCATGTATATTCCTTCATCAAGGGTATATAAACATTGGCTCTCAGGGTTCGGGTGTAGGGTTTGCGCCACAAAAGCCTTCCTCTACCGGTTTGCATGGAATTCCCAAGCCTTGAGAGTGTTCACCGCCCTGAGCCTCCCCCCCTTAAACCCCTGATTCCCTGAATACCTGAACCCCTAAACCCCAAACCCTAAAGCCTAAACCCTAAACCCTAGAGAAAACCCACAGTTAGCAAGGCAGCCCCTCCTGGCCAAAGCGCGAACACAGTTGCAGGAGGCGCTTTTCTGCAAGGTTTTGGGCTTTGAGCTTCTTGGTGAAAGCGTCCGTGGCTTTCCGATTTGAGGTTGAGGGATGTAAGGCCCTTTAGGGCTTACGGTAGAGAAGATCTGGGTGTGGATAAGGGCTTCTGTGCTTCTTGGATGTAAAGCTCCAATACCTCTTGTGATATTGGGGGGGTTACGATAATCAGGGACCCCTTATATAGACCCTGAAGTAGTAGGATCCCCTGATAATGAGGACCCAAAAAAGGTACCCCGAATTTCGGAAACCCCCTTATGGGCTACTCGTTTCAGAATCAGATGAGAGTTTGAGAGTTGGAGGGGGGGGGGGGTCAGTTCCACTGGTCACTGGCGCTAAAGACGCATGAAGCAACACAAGGCCATGCTTGAGGCTAGCTGAAGGCGACTGCGCACAGACGCTAGAGCATAATACTTCAGTGTTGCAGGGTATCAGAGAGAAACCTTAGACCCAGAGGTAGAATCAAAGTGCTTCGACCCACTGCAGCAGCGGTAGTTGCATATAATCGAAATAGTTGCTTATCAGCACCTGAATACTGAATGCTCCTTGAGCCATGTCTTCCGCAACGGTTGTGAGCTCAAGCGCTCGGAGGATCTCGGAGGATCTCGGAGGACTCTAGCCGCTCTTCTTAGTCTTGTTGTGCTTCTGCTGTGCTGCCTCTTCAGCAAAGGCAGCTGCGGCTTTGCATCCTTGGGAGGGAGGGACGAGCCAAAGCAAGTGCCTTTGAGCCTGATGAGGGAGCAGGCCGGCACAAAGTTTCGGGCTAAGGCACGCGACGCGATCGCGCCGCTACCGATGACCCCAGCAGAAAAGAAGTTGTTGCGTCGGTTGGCAGGATTCTCCCGTGCGGGCCGCTGGGGCTCTGTTGATTCCGCCTTTCGCAGCTACAACGGTAGCTCCACCGCCATCTACAATCAAGTTATGCATGCTGCTTTCCGGTGCGACAAGTATCAGCGCGGTGTTCAAGTATATAACAGGCTACTTTAAACCATTATACCTCTGCCGTGCGTGCTTGCAGGAATGCTAAGGGGGTGAGCCACAATGCAGCCACTTACTTGCTGGGGAAAGTTGAGGAGCAAGGCCTTGTACCCGATGTGATTTTCTTCACAGCTTTGGTCCGGACATACAAGCACGCGAAACTTCAGAGCTTCACCGCAGCATTTCAGAAGATGAAGAATCTCGGTGTAGTGCCTGACAGAGTCTTTGCAGAGACCTATTTAGCTACGTTACTGGTGCCGGATGAGAACAGGGTGCGAGGCCACATGGTTCAGGACTTGAAGCGCCTGGAGCATGATCGATTGCTGGCCGGCTGGGAAGCCCACCACGTCTTTGAAGAAGCCAACGTCGAATTGTCTGGCCTTGCCTCGGAGGTGAAAGAGGCACTAGGCCGCATTCTTGACACTTGAAGCCCTCTGAGCTAAAAGTGGCCAATACCCCTTCAGAAAAAATCCTTAAACCATATACGGAACCCTCTTATCTTTTCAGGAATATTCCCTAATTAAGGTCTATTGGAGTGCGCCTGGTGTCCTTTGATTGTTCCCAGTCAGAGCCGCTTAGGGTTTAGGGAGAGTTTAGGGTTTAGGGTTTAGGATGGAAACGCGACCAACCATGCGCAAGGGTGTGCAGGCGTCAGAGTCCCATGCACTTTTCATGTAAAACGTCGCAGCCGGGCTAGACCGTCGCACCACGACACAAAGACCCCCTGGTTCTTAGTAGGGAATGAGGGAAGTACGCCCCTACATATACCCCTTAAGTATCTAGGTATCTCATTTCCTCATTCCCTACTAAGAACCAGGCAGAAGACTCCACACACATTCAGGAAGATCTGGCGGCTTGCTGGCTCACGTGCGGAATGCTACACCGAAGCCCCAAAGATAGCCTCTGCATTGTTCGACGTGCCAAGCGCAGAATAGTCTTGAATGGCTTTTCCCGCATCCACAGCTCATCGAAACCCCCAGCCCGAAAAATAGCAACTCTGTAGAAACAAGATCGTTTGCCCTAAGCCCTATAAACCCTATATAAACGCTATAAACTCTATGAACTCTCTAAACCCAAAAACCCTAAACCCTAAACCCTGCCCTTTGGAAAGTCCACATGGATCTGCTTCATAGTGAAGACAGCTCTGGGAGGCAGTTTGGGGATATTTTTTTTGAGCTTCCCCTATTGGTTGTATATGGGGACCTCTTCATAAGTTTTTGGTTTCGGATTTATATATATATATATAGGTTTCGGATTTATATATATATAGGGTTTAATTAGGGCTTAGGGTGCAGGAGCACGTTTGCGCAGGCAGTGGGCTTGGTCCCGGAAGCCAAAGAGCATCTGGTGGCCCAAGGCACGCCGACCGTTGTATGTAAAAAATGGCGGGTTCGGGGTTCTCGGGTTTAGGGTTTAGGGTTTAGGGTTTAGGGTTTAGGGCTTAGGGCTTAGGGCTTAGGGTTTAGGGTTTAAGGGCGGCTTAAGGCTTGAGTGGGGGCAGTATCCTTTCCTGGCAGTTCTCCGTGGTCCAGTTGCAAAAGGGCTTAAGGCTTATCGCAGTGGTCGCGCCCTAAAGACTCAAAGCCCTAAGCCCCTTAGACTAGGATCGATGGGCCCAAATCTGCACATAGCCCGCTTGACCCCCAGAAGTTCAATTTTTTTGGGACCCCGAAGCCCACCCCAGAAGAGATGCCCTGGCTCACAGTTCCCGCAGATCTCCAGTTTTGGGTGTGTTTGGAGTACATACTTGGAGGTACATTAGGGTCGCTACAAGTAGGGTCATAATGATATATGGCAACGATTATACTTATAACCCGGGGCTTGAAGGTACTTCTAGTGCTGCGACTTGAAGGATTGGACCAAGTCCACCCAGGAGTGCAGGGTACAGGTCATAGGGGCTTCGTAGGGTTTAGGGTTTAAGTTTTGGTTTTAGGGTTGCAGTGTGTCGGATGTGCTTAACAGTAGCGTGATTCAGGGTTCAGCGACTTGCCGCCCAGGCGAAGTGCATCTGCCAAAGATGCGGAAACCCTTGCGCAAGGGCAGCAGAAGTCATGGAGGTCGAAAGCCAGGCGGGGTCTGGTGGCAGCTGTCAATGCGTTGAGGGCCCCCCGCCAAAAAAACCCTAAACCCTAAACCCCCCCAACCCCCCCAAAACCCCTGCCCTCAAGACCATACCGGGAACCCTCATGAGGAGGCTCGTTAGGGCTACAGCTAGGACGCAGAGTAGGCCGTTGTTTCCTGTTTTCAGGGTTTCACCCTCTGTCCTCCCAGGCTACTTTTCAGTGAAATTCGAGCCCTAAACCCTAAACCTAAACCCACCTCACGTGAGAAACGGTCCGGTGGATTGAGCCACGATCACCCCCTTCCAAGCAAATTTCCGTTTTCTTTCGGACATTACACAGACTCAAGTTGGACCCTTTGCATCCCTGCATTGTGGTTGCGAAGGCTGCAAGGCAGGTGGCAAAAACCCCTAAGCAGGTGGCAAAAACCCCTGAACACTAAACCGTTTCTTTTCCTGGGTTGCTCTTGGGTCTCATATTTAGCGGTCGGAATACTTACAGTACTTACTAGTATTCCCTTAGGGTCCCTGAAACAAATACACTATAATAACCCCCCAAGACCTTGCTCTAATTATTTAGGCAACTAGACAACCTTAGGGTGATTGGATCCAGGAGATTTTGTAGGATCCTCTTTGCCCCAATCCCTGCAGCACTGTACTTGGTACATTTGGGTAGGAACAAGTAGGGCAACACACAGCCTAAACAGGGCTCTTTGTACAGTTACCATCATTGCAACGCTATGTATGACTACCCACATGTACCTCCTAGTAACTAACCTTAGGGCTGCAAGGGCTCCTCCGACCTAATTTAGGAAAGCTCGTAGCCTTCCTAAACCCTAAACCCTAAACCCTAAACCCTAAACCCTAAACCCTAAACCCTAAACCCTAAACCCTAAACCCTAAACCCTAAACCCTAAACCCTAAACCCTAAACCCTAAACCCTAACCCAAATGTACCTCGTCGTCGCCCTGCGATGTGGATTCGCCCCAGCTGTGCAGGAGTGAAAAAAAAAACCCTAAACCCTAAACCCTAAACCCTAAACCCTAAACCCTAAACCCTAAACCCTAAACCCTAAACCCTAAACCCTAAACCCTAAACCCTAATACCCTAAACCCTAAACCCTAAACCCTAAACCCTAAACCCTAAACCCTAAACCCTAAACCCTAAACCCTAAACCCTAAACCCTAAACCCTAAACCCTACCCCCAAGAACACGGGAAGTGCCAAGATCCAGAGCGGCCTGGATCTGGCGGCCCTGCGAACCTGCTGCGGCAGTTCAGCCAATACCTGTTGAGGCCGGTTTCGGCGGGCGTAGAGTTGCTTGACGTGGGCAGCTCGATGCCCTACAAGCTTCTTTTCTAAACCCTAGACCCTACCCTAAGCTTAAAGCCCAAACCCTGTAAAGCCTAAACCCAAACCCTACTTGGAGGTTCATGGATAGTTATAAGTGGGGCTATAAGATGCGGTGGCTATAATAAACACGGGCACTTGCAACCCTGCTACAAACTACCCAAACGTACCCGAAGTAGACCCAAAGTAGTGAAAGTAGTGAAGTGCCCACGGATCAGATGATGTGGGTTTTTGAAGGTTCTCGTTGCCTACGCCTTCCAGAGCCCTAAAGGCTGTAAACGAAGTATGGTAACGCCTACTTAGAACCTTATTCTTAAGGGGGCACTTGTGTAAGCCCATTAAGAGGATCATATTCAGGAATATTATTCAGAGGGTTTTAAGGGCCATCCTAGTACGCTTCAGGGGTTATTCATAGGGGCTTGCGAGCCTAGGGTTCGCGTAGGGCTTTGGGAAGCAGGCTTAGGGCTTAAGAGTTTGCAAAGGCGTGCCTAGGGTTCCCTAAGCCCTAAATCCCAGGGTTTTAGACAGCCCCGAAGCCGAAAACCTTTGATTGAGGGCTTAGGGTTTAGGGTTTGGGGTTTAGGGTGTAGGGTTTAGGGTTTAGGGCTTAGGGTTTAGGGTTTAGGTGAACCTGTGGGGCGTTTTCTCATGAGACCGGTCTCATGCCCTGAAGAACGCTAGGCCGCGAGGGCTGGGGTTTAGGGCTTAGAAAAATAGGGTTTAGGGTTTATTTGGGGTTTAGGGTTTTGGGTTTAGGGTTGCGGCAAACGGTTTTAAAAGAAATTGTCTAAAGCTTGGTTCCCAACAAGCTTTGACCGAAACGCATCCGGGGGCTTTTGGGCACCTGCTGGGGCCGTATAGGCCTTATGGGGGCCCTCCCGTGGCGGGCCTTTGGGAGATTGTTTCCCCCGGCACCCTTTATGCACCGGGAGCCTTCTGGGGTATCCCGAGCCCTAAGCCCTAAACCCTAAACCCTAAACGATGCCTGCGCTGGCTTGTTTAGACAAACACCCCTTGAATGCTTCCTGCAACAACAAAGGGTGGTTTCCCAAATTATCCTCGCGAAGCGGCGGCTGGTCCAAGAGACACTCATCTTTCGGAACAAAGCAGCGCCGCGGCTCAGTCTTGAAATGCACACAACTTCTATTTATTTTGTTTTGAGGGTTTTGGAGGGGCTTCGACCCTGGCAGTGTAAACCCTAAACAGAAGTCTTCGTGCTTGAAGCCTTGCGCAGGCCCCTAAACCCTAGACCCTAAACCCTAAACCCTAAACAACCCTAACCCTAAACCCTAAACCCGAAGCCTTGCGCAGGCGAAGCATCCTCCTCATGGCGATCATTAGCACCATTTGCTTGGCGAACGCTGTGAGGCCCATAAAGCCTTAACCCAACCAAACCCTAAACCCTAAACCCTACGGCTCTGAGGACTCTTACTTTTAGGGTTTTGGGCCTAAAGGCTCTAATGACTCTTGTTTTTAGGGTTTTGGGCCTAAAGGCTTTAAGGACTCTTATTTATAGGGTTTTGGGCCTAAAGGCCTTCCTCCAAATTTTTAGCCTAAGGGCATGAAACCCTAAACGCCAACCAAAACATTCCCAAAGCATCCCTCTTTGGATTTTCAGATGCAAGCAGAAGCAAGTCCGGCAAGCCCAATACCCCATAATGAGAATGGAGTTTGCGGCCTAGGGTTGATTTAAGGCTTCCAAAATTTAGGGGTATACCTTACACTATATAGAAGGATCCTGATTGTCATTTAAGGCGTCTTGTTTAATGCAGGGGTATTGGAGGGTTATAGGAATGTTTTTGGTTTTTGTACGTTTTGGGCTCAGGTTTCTGCTGGTGTTGATTTTGTTTTTTTTGGTAAAGCTTTGTGGGCATGCAACTCTACAGAGCCCACCCCCTCCCCCCTACAGAACCCATCGAAATTTCACGTTGGGATGTTCCCCCTTATACTAACGGCTGCTAACTTTCCTTCATAGGGATTTCAATAGGGGGTATTATAATCTCTCTTAAGGACTGCGAGTAAACTTCATGTCTTATGAAATTCCCCAAATCCTTTCTAGCTGTGTTTCTTCGTCTTGCAGCACCCTGGCCCAACGGAAAGCCTGACTTGAGTGGCGGGCACACCAGCTAGGTTCCCTTGTACTTAAACCCGGGCACACATAAACAGGGAGGTTCAGGGTTTCGGGTTTAAGGTTTTGGATCCTTTCGGCATGAGGGCTTAAGGATTAGGAGGTCCCAATATGTGGCCGCTCTTCAGCGTGAAGTGTTCAGACAGGATCGCAGAAGACAGTCGCAGCATGTCAGGCAATGTCTACAAATTAACTGCACCCTTGTCTTCCCCCTTCAGCATAATCCTTTGATTTTAAAACCCCCAAAAGTATAATCCTCTGATTTTAGGGACCTTTCAAAAGGGCGCAACCCTAATTAGTTTCCAGAGTCCTTAAATACTTCTGCGAAGGGACTGGAGGAGGGATCCTTGTGAGGGACCATAAGGCTTCTTTGGGGCTTATATAGTTATAGGGCTACTTCAGAACCCTAAACCCTAAACCCTATAAACCCTAAACCCTAAACCCTCAAGACAAAAAAAATAAATTGTATGTGGTACCATTAGGAATTTCCCCAAGATATTTGCCTAAACAGAAGCAGAGTTCAAGTAAATTATTCCAAATCGCCTCGGAGGCCAAATGCTCAATTTACTTAAACCTTTGTCTGCAGCCTTCCCGCCAAAATTTCCTATGCTGTTTGTCTAAACAGCTGACTAAAACAGGAAGGCTCCCGGAGGCCTGGGAAGCTATCGAAACCCTGAAAAAGGAAGACCTGGAAGCTGCAAATTAGGACCAAAACCGGGCCCGCGAGACCCCAAATTCCGGAAAGACCACAAAAGGCTTCAAGAAGCCCCCAAAAGGCTGCAGGAGGCCCCAAAAAGCCCAGAGGCTTCAGAGAGCAAGGAGGCCCAGAAGCCTCAGGAGACACAAAATGATTTCAGAGGGAGACTCCAAAAGGTCCCAGAAAGCCCCACCACAGGAGGCCCAAAAATGATCCAGCAGTCTCCAAAAAAGAAGGCCCACGAACGCTCAAGAATCAGAAAAGTGGCTCCACAAAAAAACTCGGTCAAAACTTTCGGTCAAAACTTTCCGGTCAAAACGCTATTGGGACCCAAACCCTACACAATTTCTACAAACCCTAAACCCTAAACCCTTCTAGGGGTTCCTCCTGACACCCCTGAATTCTGCAATCCCCAATGGGGCATCCCGGGGAGACGTGGCGTTGTGTCGTTTCGGGGCCGTGCGCCAGCGGTTTAGGGTTTATATAGGGTTTAGGATTTAGGGTTTAGGGCTTAGGGTTTAGGGTTCAGGGCTTAGGGCTTAGGATTGAGTTCACATAGATCTGGGTAGTCTGGGGCAACCCGAAACCCCAAACTCCAAATGCTTAGGGGTTTTAGGGTTTAGGTTTCAGGGCTTGTAGTGTCGTGGGTGGTCTGTGGCATTTTGGTTCTATTGACCTCAATCCGAAAGCGTTTTCCAGGTCGGAGATGATGTCGGCTGCCGACACGTTGCCAGCGAAAGAAAGCCGACAGAGTTCAGGGGTAACGCTTGGAGTATTGCAAGATTTGTAGCCTATATTGGAATAAAGGATACTCGGAGGGACCCTTAAGTGATACT